GCGAGGTAGGCCACGGCTTCTCTCTAAGGCGTCTGTCGTGACGGGGACTTTGGGTTTAGGCTCCTTTTGACCCGATGCTTATAAATCCTTTCTAAAGCTAAGAAGTGACGCCGTGTCAATCTAGGCGTGGGTCGATGAATGTCGCTGAAAACGCCTGGAGGGTAGGCAATGCTTTCCTGAATCGGGCCCCCGCGCCCGCGGCCCCCTGTCGCTCTGAGCGCTTCTTGGACAAGGCGACAGCTTCGGAGAGGCATTGATATCGTTCGTTTTCGCTTAGTTCTTAGCGCTGTTTACTTCTGGTTGATATTCTAACATTGGCGGAAGCAATGAATTCGTCTATAGACGGTTCAGTTTAAGCTGACTCGGGCACTGTCGGCTGTAGCTGCAATCGTGTAGCTACAAACAGGGACGTCAGTCTGACCTGGACCTTTACCTGTATTTCTTTGCCGAAAAAAACAATTATTTCGAGAATAGTGTTTCAATGCGGTGATAGTGTGTGCACACTGTGTATGCCATGCACACTGTTGAGTTTTCAGTGGATTAAAGAGTTAACACCTCAACGCCAACGCCGCTTGGTCGACAGATTGCGAGCAGAACGTTTCTAAATATGAGATGGAGCAACAACACCTTCAATTTGCATCATCTGCTTTCAAGATCGACTCTTGATTGAGATTTTGGCTAGCAGATGATACATAATTGTTGTAAATATAACTACAATTTATTATATGTATGTATCATTTGCTAGTGCTGCGTCGCGCTAGACTAGGCGTGTTTTATTTCTCCTTGTTCTGTGTTCGGTCCTCAGGGCTGCTGTTCATGGCAAGCAGACCGGTATTCAACATTGGGCTCACTCTATCGACTGAGCAGATGTGAGCCAATATCTTCAATATAGTTTGACAAAAACAGTAAGGAAATAAAACTATTAAAACAATTGTGTTGGATCCGGAGTAGTACATTTTTATTAAGTCAACCCCACAACGAAAAATATTAATGTAACAGATTTGGTTATAATTTTGTGACAGAATTTGAAAGTAAATCTGAATGTTAAGATACATTGATTGTAAAAAGATATTCCATAGCTATCATTTAAATTTTAGGCCCCGTATTTCAACTTTACTGTTGCAAGGTAATGCGTCATAAAATGTCTTGCCACAAAGTTACTGGTAGGTGTACAAACTCGTGTATCACTCATCTTTGTCTACAACTGACTATTTTGTCACCGTAAAATATAGTTTACCTTATGATTGGATTCTGGTAAATTTGGGTTTTTGAATTGTGAAGTGAAGGTATTGGACGGAAACCTTTATTTTGACAGTGGACGGATTTATAAAGTTGTACAATATGTATCAGAAATCACTGTCAAAATTTACCAGGAAAACAAGAACGACATCGTCGTAGAGCTTTGTTTGCGTTAAACAGTTTTGCTATTGACATACAATGGGTGCCTGAAACTTAGAGATTTGCTAGCAAAGATGTTTTCCAAATACAGTCAGTAATTTGTTCTGGGGAGACAAAAAGAAAAGTAAAGACCGCCAGCAGAAGGCGCTTAACAGAAGTGTAAAAATACTAGTACTTTCCTCGTCACATTACAGTTCGCATGCCCAGTAACACCGCTTCAAATGATACGTCTCCAGAGCCTCTCCGGCCGTGCAGAGGGAAAACACATGCGCGCACTTGTACGCACACAATACACACACAATACAACACACGTAGAAGAGACACAACAAGCTGTCACACTGGGAGTCCTGCTCGTCCGTGTCTTCTAGGCGCACGGCACAATCACTGAGTTCTGGCCGCGCGTGGCGGGGCGGGGCGGTGCGGGGCGGGGCGGAGGCCAGCACTGGTACTGGTGGGCCTCGGCCTCGGGCCTGGGACGCGGGTCTAGGACGCAGGCCGCGGTCGCAGGACTCGGACTTCAGCCGCGTCCCGGCCTCGGCGGCACAGTTTTTCGAGGCACTCCGGGCTCCAAACGAGTTGTGAAGGCAGAGAGCGCCGAGTCACCAGCCCAAACCTCGGGAACACACAGGCGACGGCAGCCGACCAGCTCCAGCTCGCACCTGCGGGGAAAAGAATAACACATTAGTCTCGCACGTGCAAGTGAACCGAGGGGAAGACGTCTCCTTCCCTCCGTATTGCGAACATCTCCGGCTCCACGGGGACGGGGAGCTTGTAGGGGCGCGGAGCGGAGCGCGGAGCGGGTGGCGCACAACGGGGAGCCGGGCGCCACTTCCCGCCCGCTCGACCCCGCCTCGCCCCGCCTCGCCCCGCCTCGCCCCGCCTCGCCCCGCCTCGCCCGCCACGACGCACCCTACGTATTTGTACGAAAGAGAATTTGATTTGGTGGCCACAAAGAGCCGCGGAAGAGGGTCGTGACGAGGTTATCCCTGGCTGCCGGTCGGGCCTCGGCTGGGCCGGTCCGGCAGGACTCACCTGGGGAGGCTATAACGACCGCGACGCGCTCAAGGCGGCCATAAGGACGCTGAAGGGGAAGGGTAGCCCGGCGACCCTGGACGTGAACGACGTCCCCTGGCCCTGGATGGCGGCCGTGTTGTCGCCTTCTGCAAACATAGAGAGAGACAATGTCAGCGATGCAGTAGACGTGGTAAAAGGAAAAAATATTTCGGTTCCGATGAGCAGTGAAAAACATGCCATAACAAACGGGGAGAAGGGGGGGGGGGAGACTCGGGAGGCACACTGCCGCCTGTAATTTATACGCCCACGCCCCTTAAGCTCACATTTAAATTTCCTCCACACCTCCGTATGCACCTTGTCTTGTCAGTCGCTATCAATCCAATGCCACCGATATTACGAAGCTCGTTGCCTCTTGATTTTCTCAATGAAAATCTAGAGAACAAAACCAACATTCACCTTCGTAGTTTATAGAGCACTTCCCTTCACTTTAATCATCACCCTTCCGTATTGAGATCGGACCTTCCAGGAAGTACGTCCGTCGTTTGCCGTTACGAAACCTGTTTAGTTCTAAGTTCAGCCAGTGCAAGCTCTCGTAGCGCCTGGTAGGTAGGCAATACCCTGCCTGCAGTGCATGCGTGTACTGCGGGCTGGCCTACCCCGCATTCTGCAGGCGCGCCCCGTACTGATAATCGAAGTGTGCAGCTGCTGAACGCTTGCAACTGCAAGTTGAATACTTGCAAGTGTTCAACTCCATAGTAGTACACTTGTAAGTGTTCAACTCGGTAGGTATGTGCACTTGCAGCTACTCTGTAGAGCACTTCCCACACAGTGAGCGTCAAATCTAAGGAAGTGTTCAACGGAGGAGTTGCACACTTGCAAGTGCACACCTACTGAGTTAACACTAACATGTGAACTGCTGCAAAGTTGAACACTTTTGCAAGTGTTCTACAACGGAGTTGAACACGTGCAGTTGCACACTTAGTTTATCAGTGTACGGGGGCTCGGCGCCTGCAGAACGCGGGCTAGGCCAGCCCGCAGTACACGCATGCACTGCAGGGAAGATGTTGCCTACCTGCCAGGCGCTACGAGAGCTTGCACTGACAGAACTTCTCCCCCTGGCCTTGGTAAGCTGGAGGACCCAAAAATCAGAGCACCAACCCTATAAAACCCTCAATTCACCCCTTCATCAACGCTCCTACCTTTTTTACCCGTTAATTAATATAAGCAAATACTGTAAGACCTGCGGGCAACAGCACACCAACCTATGTAAAACCCAAATGTATTTTAATTCGACATCAATGAAACCATTTCAAAACTGAACTGACTGAACTTAGAACTGAACAGTTTTCGTAACGGCAAACGACGGACGTACTTCCTGGATGGTCCGACTAAGGTGTAATGTAGATAGGTGGGCGCAAGCGCTCTCATTGGTGGATCTGACATGCGCAGAACCGACTGCGCATCTCCATGTCAACCACTGTCAGGCCAGCGCGCGCGCCGCCGAGTACTTAAAAGGGATTAAGGAGCCAGGAAAGACCCGGCACCGCCCCTCCGGAGGCTCGAAGCTCGACCCTAGCACGGCCGCCCGGCCTAAAGCCGACCCTTGCTACCTGCTAATACCTGGTC